ATCCAAAATTATGTAATTTATTTAAGCATACATATAAAGAGAGGTCACTTATTCAATCAGATCACCACGTGGCGCAAACAGTGACATACACATAATTCCTAAAACTAGAGTGTTCTTCATTTCTTCCTTCAAAAAAAAAGAGTGTTCTTCATTTCTAAGTATTTTTTTATTAGGGAGAAGTAATTGTAACTGTAATTTTGAAAGAAATTGACTTTGGGACATGTGGATGTGACCTTGATATTTGTGCCTTTTCTATACAAAATATATAAGACATGTCCAAGGCCCGAACCCCCCCCCTAAACCGGCCCGCAAATCGGCACCGGCCCGGCACGAATTGGGAACTCTAAGGGCCGGTTCGTTGAACTGGACCTGTAGGATTGCAGTTCGATCCCGATTTCATATTTTTGTATTTTGGTCCCGCCGTGCTGGGCCGGGTCGAACAACGGGCCACATTGTTAATTTTTTTTTTAGGGTCGTCCCGGTCCGTGAACCACCGGGTCGGTAAACCGGCGGTTCGGGCTGGTTCATAGAGCTGGCCCTTAGTTTTTAGCGGGCCGTGTGTTTGAGGGCCCGTGGCCCAGCGGGCCGAATCGGGCCGGGCCTTGACTCGTTGACTGGCCACCACTATATATAACCTTTCATTGCTTCAAAATTATAATAGAAAATATGAAGTAATTATTGTCATAAAGCTAGTTAGTATAGTGATTAGGTTGTTAACAACCCTCATTTAGCCGGTAGGTTTCAATTTCCTTTAACTTCCTAATAATTTAAATTTACAAATAATTAATAATTATCTAGGCTAGATGTGAAAGGTAGTCCAATAATAGAAAATAAATTTTGGTGATAGCTTTCGGGTTTCAAAGATTACCTTTGCCGGAAGTGATACCTCTCTCTTGTGTCATTTAGGAGTTCGCTTCTCTATTTGTAAAGGCTTAGCCTATAAACGATCTCCTTTTATCTATAAATTCTGCTGTTTCGAAAAAAAAAAAAAATAGAAAATAAATAAATAAATAAAAATCCTTGCAGGTATGTAACGTTCGATTAATTAATGCATCCAATCAGTTGAATTTGAATAGTTCATTCATCCAAACACCAAATAAATAAGTACATAAATAAATGATACGACATAACCATTAAACAAGTTGACTCCTCATAAATACATTTGTAACAAAAATACATGCCTATGTTACATAATGTCATACATTTATTTATGTGGATTTTTAAAGTATGATATTTCAATTTAAACGTATACATATATGTTAAAAGATGTACTTTTTGACTTAACCATTAGATCTGACTAGACATGGCCAAGGATCAGTCGGGATTGCCGGTTCGGGACGAACCGGCCCATGCTCAATGGGGCTTGAACCGAGCCCGTAGTTTGATTAGGCCAGTTTTAGGCTGCATATTTGTTATTTTTTTGAACGGTCGGACTGTTCCAAATCAAAATTGACAGCTCGACCTATTTCTTTCTTTGATTTTTTTTTTTAATTTTGATGAATTGGGTCGTCCCAAAGCCGATGGTTCATGATCCGGCTCAGAACAACCAGTTCACCAAACTGACCGTGCATATTTACGGGGCGGTTCAGGACCTTCAAAATCGTGGCCCAGAACCGGCTCGGATATCAACCTCATTAATA